AGTAGTGGAAAGGCAGTTCAGAGAGTCTGCCTGAAAGTTGCTGATCTGATTTTCCCTATTTGTTTTTTATTTAAAAAAAACCCCTCAAACTGCCTTTCTGCTTTTACACTTCGGAGATTATAGGCCTGGTCTGGAAGTTGGTGTTGGTCAGTGTCCTGCTGGTTCTGCAACACATGCATCGCATACTTGGCTGTGGTTTTACAGCTCAGACATTCTTATCCGCTCCGGTTTATATGTGGGACATAAATAAGCTGAAGATGAAGAGGACATGCAAAACACTGGCCAGACGAAATTATATGCATACTATAAAATGGGTTTGGACTATGGGAAAAAAAAAAACCCATACAGACATTCAACAGATAAACAGGACCAGAAGCAGGATTGAAACCCATAGATGCTATGAAGTGTCATGCCCTGAATTGCCTTGCTATGCTAGTCGTTACATCATGCATTAAAACATCCCTTACAATGGTTACATATATGATTGTTTGAAGTCAACCCCTAAGTAAAACGATTAACTTCTGAAAAAAAGTGCTTAAACTGCAATATAAATATATAAAAACCATACGTAATATTATGCACTCTTCCTGTAGCACTGACTAATGGTAGTTATTCAGACCAATCGTGTTTTTGCATCTCATTCAATTACATAAATTTTTGCATGGCAGTGAGCAAATGCCAACTTTCTATTGGCTAACACAACTGCATGCTCCTTGCTCCAGCCAATCATTGCTCACTGATATAACAGATGTTTCAGAGTTGCCGACTCTCACGCATCTGGAGTGACACTCACGCTTTCTGACTCTCAATCTTACGCCAAATCTATATTATTCCATAATAAACCTTGAATTAGCTACATCAAAAGCATTGGGGTAGTTTGGAATCTCAGACTATTTACAAGTAATAAAACTCCTACACACATGTAAATGAGTGTGCAGACTTTTCTCACATCGAAAATCTCACGCTGGCTGTATGACCAAAGTTGGCAACCCTGGCTTTTGCATGTTACTTATGGGTCATATTTAAGTTGGGACGGGGGGCATAATCATACCCTTTGTAACCCCCATGCACCACAATACAGTAATAAAATGTTATAATCGAAAGCATAATGAGAACAAAGCACTTTGATCTGTGTTTAAACTTAAAATGAGGGATAATATCTATGTAACAGTCTCATATTATATTCCAGTATGACTGAAAGACACACACAAATTTAAACAATAATAGAAAAAGTATGACATAATTGTTCCCAGAGGAATATTTTCTTAATTCTCTGTGTCAAAGAGCTGTGAGAATGTCAAGGATGTGAGGAATTCTCCTGTTGTAATTCTGTGTTCATAAGTCACAGTCACCTGCCGTATCTGTTGCACCAGCCTTTGAAACTCGGCATCTCGCACTATTTCTGTCTGAGGTCAGTCCGTGCAGCAGCAGCCGCGAGGTCCTCGAAAGCCCACGTGCCCAGAGCCGCATCCTGTACTCCAAAAACAAACCAAGCTTGCTACAGCACCTCCACTGTGGCCTTCAAAGTCTTAAATACTTTCGAGATTAGAACACATTTTGGCGTGAAAGGATTTTTTTTCACTGCTGCTCAGAATTGCAGAGTATAATAATTGGGCCCCACCTCTTAATGTGAAACCCTGATATTTATTTTGCCCTAAAAGACTGAAATTACACGCTTGTGACCCCCCCAGGCGTACTGCGTAGCCCTTGATAATTATTGTTTGCCGGTGTCCGTGACAGTATCCGTTTGTTTTCCGTGGCTATTGCCGTCTTCAGAGCCCTGCACACTGGAAGCCATCTTTGGATGTTATTGTGGCGTGCCCTGTTCTGTTCCAAAAGCACACCGAGTTATCGTAAATTAAAGGCATCTCAAAACCTAACACCCAAAACATGCATTCCAGTCGACTTACACTGCAGCATTTATTGCTTTCGGGGTTCCCTTTGCAATTGACCAGTACCTCTAATCAGATCCCATCACGTTGTCCTTTGTTCAAATAAAGCCGGGAGTAGTAGTTTCATGCCTTTCTTGGTTTTCATGTGATGACAAAACACTGCGGGAAATCCACCCAGGTGATGTCACTGATGGGTGGGGGTTTCTGCGCTGCCCCTCCCTGGTCAGAGCAGCGAATGACAAGTAGCGTTGCATGAGTGTTGTGACCACGGCATCAGACCTAAAAGGATCTAGAATCGCAAAGTGGGCAGGTTCCTGCGAGGTTTGTGGGTACTCAAATCCAGGGAGAGGCAGTCGGGACTTTGCCATGGTACCTTCTCCCGCAGCAACGAATATGGGAAATTTCCTGAAGCATGCAGAGATAACAGCTTGGGGTTGAGCAGCCCCTGGCCACACCTGGAACATCCCAGGAGCCGGTCGGTACCTGCTGACATGCGCAGGCCCGGGATGAAGCGGGCACTTTGCTGGGGGAGCCACAGCTGCTGATTAGGGCCTATCACAGAACCGGGAGGTTCCTCACAGCTCCCCTGTGGAACGTCGGCTCCACGTTCTAAAGCCCAGGGCATCCAATCCTAGTCTTTGGGGGCAGGGCATGGTGCGTGCACCTTACTTTGACCACCTAGCACTCCAATAACAAAAGAGCAAGCAAGATGAGTTTTAACTGAGAAGTAAAATGTTCCAGCCATCATCTCCATACTCTTGCTACAAACATAAATATCTGGTACATTGGTGTCTAATGTGCACGGTGACATTCGTTTTAATATTTTTGTAGCAATTAATATAGGGGGAAAAAAAAAACACAGAACTACGTTTGTGCACAGTGTAGGTAAAAAAAAAAACCTGGCAGCTTTCGGGTCGGGGGGGTTAGGTGTGACGCGCATAAGAAAGTGTTGCAAAAATGTAGCATCAATCAGCTCCTTCAGAGGGAGGGTTAGGGCAACGATCTGGATTCGTATGGCTCCTCAGGATCGAAGGCTGAGGTTCCTGGCATGACACCAGGCCCGTGAGTGACAGACGGTGCTGCTTTCCATTCCACTCCAGTTAATTAGGTCAGCTGGGCTAAATTAATGGAGGTGAGAGACACTGAATATCTGGAACGTGGCACCAGCAGAGTGAGCTGGCTCACTGCAGCCCTTCTGCAGCACTCCTTCAGTCTGCACCATCTATTCACACTTTTACTTTAACAGAATGTCCTACATGATAAAAGCCGTATTGTCCTTAAGTAACTTCATGGACACGCAGAAGCGTATTTAGTAAATACGGCTGGAAGGAAAACAAGCACGGACTTTGTGAGCTTTCAGTCCTTTCATCCACAAGCTGAAGTCCAAACAAGCTAAGCGATTTATGGATGAGCGTAGAATACTCAACATGGGAGTCAACAGAATTTAACTGGAACATTTGGGGGCAGAAATGAGAAACAAAACATCCATTTTGAAAAAACAGCCCTCTTCTGGCTCGTTTCCTTTGTAAATGTCACCATTATATTCATACTAGAATTTGGTTTTATTATGCTGGTCTTCCCTCTAGTGGACAAGGAACAACACTACATTATCCGTTATTTTCCCCTTGTCCCAAACCAAGCCCTCTCAGGAAGGAGGCACGGCGGCCATTTTGTTAAATGTTTCATAACCATTTTCCATGTGAACTCCTCGGACTATTTTTATCTACGTCATTCCAGTGGGTTCAGTCACATATATTAGATTCATGTGTTTATTTGGGTTGGGGGCACATCTACCTCACTCTCAAACATGCTGTAATTTTTTTTTCTTTTTTAAGTATTCCACTTTTTTTGGGGGGGGGGACCCCACATTTACAGCCAGGGGTTGAATTCTTATGCACAACAGAAAACTTCAACTCTAAGCACACCTACATTAGCGGTATATAAGTAAATAGCTGAACCAGTAGTCAGATACATTTAGCAAACTTAAAAACACTTGCAAGACATTTACCTCAACTGACCGCAGTTAAACAGCAGGTGCTGGAAACACCTACCCAAATAGGGAGGGTTCCGAGCTACCGCTCAGTCACATACGCAACGCAGGCTAGCTCCAGTCACATTTTAAATAAGCAACGAGCAGCATATAGCAAATCTTTAGTTCTAGAGGAATCCCACTGCGCCACCGAAAGAATGTGACCCCACTACCAAGTTGGTATGACTGTCCAGAGCAGAACAGAATCAAATAATTTGATGAGCGTAGGTCATGCCAGCTGCTTAGACCATGCGCTTAGCACCCGTGACCAGCCAGGTTAGATTACAGGCCAGACTGAATCCAAGAACTCCACCCCGCATACCAGAACCAAGGACGACATTGAAGGGTGGGGACAAGTAGAGGCTCTCACAATTGAACCTTCTGAACTGCATGTTCCAGTAAATCAATGACTCAGCATGTCGTCTAAACGTCTCCATTTAATGTTGCTTTCATCATCAGTCAAACAAGCTGTGAATGTTCTACCGGGCACCGTATCCTACCTGGAGCGATCTGTTGGGAATTTAACACTGCAGATTGTTTCCTAAAACATCATGCCAGCATTGGGTAGTAACAGAAGTCAAGGCACAGTCTCGAACAGGGGGGAAAAAAAAAAAAAAAAAAAAAGGACTATAGCCAAGCACTGGGCTGCATGTCTGCAAACACGACTCCCTGCTCACAGCATCAGGACAAAGAAAAGGAAATGGGATTTTGGAAAAATGGTTTATTTTTCAGCAAATACTCTCCTTAGCCAGGCTCTGGCTCAACAGCACCCCCTTCAACTCCACTTGCTATTCACCCCTGTCCAGAGCGGCAAATTGCTGGAGGCTAGATGCACACGTCCATGGGAGGCTTGGATGGTACATTCGGAGAAGCAGACACCGGGCCCAGTTACTTGAAGATCTTGCCTTGGTTGAAGGGCTTGCCAACGTGCTTGAACTCTCCCTCCCAGGCAAAGTACTCCTTCACCATGGTCTTGCACTCTTCGCTATCTACGTCCAGCTTGCGCCAGCTGTAGGACTCGTAATCCACCTGCCAGTCCTCAGAAAGCTGGAGGAGAGGGTCAAGACAGGGACAAGACCTGAATGACAAGCATCTAACCAAGTGGTCACCAACCCTGTAGGTCTACTACCCTTCACATCTTAGGCACAGCCCTAATTTAACACACAGGATGCAGAAAAGTATTGGACCCAGTTATGAAGCTAAGTTTGCTCTAATACTGAGATGCTACTGAAAGGCCTGATTACCTGTATCTTACCTCTGTAGGGTGGTTGGTCTGCAAGAGCTGGCTTGGTGACCACTACAATTAAACTAGCATATTAACTCACTTGTCCAGTAACAAGGACAATATTGACCATCTTCTGTATCTGTAGAAGATACCAATTCCTTGGAAGCAACTACACAATACAGCAATGTACTGTAAGAGTGCCGACCCGGGACACACACAAGGGAACACCAGGCTACAGGCCCTAGTGCAAGAGCTGAAACGACACTCCGGAAATCCCTTCTGGCAACACGACACTGGCGCTAACCCAGCGCTAAAAACATTTGTCCATTGTCCCTAGGACAGACGATCTAAATGTTTAAGAAACACAATTAGAGAGAAAGGGTACATAACTATGAGTTGTCCCTTAAATGTCACATTCAAAATGCTTTCAGATGTTAAATGCAGGAAGTATGCATCAAGACGCCATTGTTACTTGAGGTAGACAAGCACTCACAGTGAAGGCCAAGTCCTGTCCTCTGAACACCCAGATGCCGGATATGCTGCTGTCGTTGTTGGTGCCGAAGAGAATGACACTACCGAAGGCGTTCTTACGCAGTTTGTCTAGCCGCTGGAACATTCCTGAGTTGGGATGAGGCAAGTGAATAGGTGGGACACTCGAGGACTAGCAGAGGGAGGCAACACCACATTTAGCCACACGGAGCGTTGAGGAACTCGTTCATGCTTCTTACCAGTGATCAGGTTGCAGCTCATAAACGCCATGGTGAGCTCTTCTGGAAAGCGGTACTCCCCGTACCAGATGGAGTAGCCCTCGCGGTCCAAGTGCTCCCAGAAGTACGGCAGAGCTACGGTGAGGGTGTCCTCATTGGAGTACTTCCGCTTGAACTCGTCCATCACAAAAGCACTTTTGACAGAATAGAAGACGATGGCGTAAGACCCAGAAGGTCAACACATTGAACAATAACTCCTAGATGCTGTCACAGGGGTTTAATACTGCTCAAATTCTGAGAGATATGAAGGCTGTCTCCTGCTTTTACAGGCACATCTGCAGACATCTAGGAGTGTCTTGCATATAGGGGTGTGTACCTCTTGGGGAGGTGAGCAAAGGGGTCCTTGGTTTTGGGCTCCGACGCCAGGGCCGCATCACACTCATCCATTTCCTCCTCAGGAGCAGGGGCGGATGGCTTCTTGTCTTCTTTCTTCTCCTTCTTCTCTTTCTTCTCCTGCTGCTGCTTTCCTCCTTCCTTGTTTGCCTTCTCCTTCTTGGAGGGAGCGTCCTTCTTGGGCTGCATCTCGGCAAACTTCTTGGCTAGGAAATGGGAGCCGGCACTTGATTATTTTCCCCACCACAAGCAGCATTGCGGTGAATTTCTCCAAACGACTGTCATACGTCTACCAGCATGTCATGGTTGGCCAACCCTATCCATGCCCAGACCACCGTGACCCTTGCATTTCCCCTCTTTCTGGTGCCAGCTAGTGTACAGAGCACCACACCTACCACAGTGTTCAACAAACAATTCCCATGATGCAGCTCTTACCCCAGAACCATTTGGCATACACTACCAGTCACTGTATACACTACCAGTCACTGTATACACTACCAGTCAAAAGTTTTTGCACACCACAGGTTTTTAACCACTTTTCCATTTATTTCATAAAACTGCAGATTTTTTTTATTCTTGTTTAGCATAAGAATGTATTTTCATGTATAGTTCTCAACAAGTAAAATAAAAAGTTCTTTATAACATGGAAAGTATGTAACAGTGCGTGTCTGACGTCCTATAAACTGGTTGTGTGGTGACGGCAGTCAAATTCTAGGCTGTCCTTTAAATGCGGTTGTTAACTGTTCCATCCCAGGGAACAGCAGTATTTACTGCCCCTTGTAAAAAAAAATGCCTCGAATTCTCTGCTGTTAACTGCTAGAGCAGATTATCTTGTTGAATCAAAGATGACAATTTCTTGCTAATAAATGTACTTAAAGGGTTGAACATACTGCACATTTGTTAGCAAATACTGAGTGTATTTTTAGTAAATATTAAGTAACATGCAAATCTAGAAAATGTGTGTGCAAAAACTTGACTTGCTGTATAAAATATTTTCCAAGTATGTGTTAGAAAAAAAATCAGAGCTCGTCACTCCTCTGCTGGGAGCTTCCCCCCCACCAGACCATGCCGATGGGAATCCTCACCGTCAAACTGAGCCATCTTGTCACACAGCTTCACTTCACCCAGGACGGCCTTGAACTGCCGCTGGTTGATGCAGGTGACAAACCAGCGGGTAACATTGGCAAATGGCTGACGGAAGGACGGTTCCAGGACCTGTAGCAGTTGGAGACTTGAAATGAGCCCAACAGCCAGGAATCGAGACCATCCCCCCCCCCCAAGCAGCGCCAGCAGCTCGACAGGCTTGAAAACCCTCACCTGTTTGTAGAGCCAGAGCAGGGAGCAGACGACGGTGATGTCGGCCAGGCTGACTCTCTCGCCCACCAGGAAGGTGCGGGTGTTTAAGTGCTGGTTCAGGACCCCAAGCACCCGCTTCACTTCCTCCTTGGCTTGCTCGGTAGCCTAGTGGACACAGAAGAGCGTCCCTGTTACACATGAGCAGTAGACTGCAAAGCTCATGTCCACGTGCGACAGGCCTCAAGAGAAATTCCTTGTAACACTATACAATTGGATTACCAGAAGCGGAGCAGTTCTCATGCATCAAAAACAGACCTTTCCAGTTCAAGGTCAGGGCAATCAGAAGCTTATGAATTATTATAAAATTCTTCTCTTTAGAGAGCATAACTTGCATACCATCATGCTTAATAAATCAGTACTAAAAACGGGGCACAATTCTACCAGCGGAGTGTGACTGGCATGAGCGTTAATGTAAACCCATTCCTCCTTAATGCTAACCCATTCCTCCTTCCCATAGAGTGGCAGCTATGCACCAATCGGACAGGATCCCAACTCTCCACATTCCAAGCAGCTGCTCAAAAGCACATGTGTGGAAAAACATGAGCGTGTTCTAACAGAAGGCAAACACAGCTAGAAGGGTTTTAGCTATGGAGCGGGACTTTAAAAGCTTTGTGCTGAGGAGGATTCAGAGAGACCGAAAAACCTCGTAAAACAAAAACAAGCTTGGATTTGGAAAAATCCTCAAGCCCAAGCACATATGCTGCAGGATGACTTGTAGACATGCTTTTCATTTCGGAAAGCATTTCGAACAAATGCAGTGCTGCTGCGATGACTCCTCCATCCACCCAGCCTTTCCAGGTGCTACCTAGCAACAATGTCTTCCCGCTACATCTAGAATGTGTCACACTTCAAATAAACTAAAGCATGAATGCCATGCTTCCTAATAAAGGCTGGGAATTCTGCACCATAATACATATGATCATAAAAAAAAATATCAAAATAATGCCCTCACATTCAAAACCAGTGGAATCATTTTCCCCAGACAATGTTAATAAGAATGCTGATGCCCCCAGAGAAGAATCTCACTGTCTGGGAGGATAATAAACAACCCAACAACAAATGTTCCCAGCCAAACAAAACAGGATACAGTACTGAACTACACGCAATTACATGGCTGAGGCAACATGGCGACAGACCTGCTTGTTGTACTGTATGATGCCCAGGGTGGGGAAGACCCAAGTGCTGGCTGGAGGGATGATCTCAGAGTCGGCGAAGCTGGCCCACTGCATAATCTGAGCACTGGCTTCAGAGCTGCTGCCACGCAGGGCTTCGTTACTCACTGCCGGGGG